TTCCCCTTCCCCTGGAATAAAACTCAAGGTCCTCCCCTTGGTTAATGAGTCCTACACAGCATGGTCCTGCCAACCCATCACCCCCCAAGCTAAACTCAAGTGACACTGGCCCTCCTTCAGGTCCTCAGACACACCAAGTTGCTCCCTGCCTCGGGACCTTTGCACACGCTGTACCTTGTGCAAGGAACACTCGCCCACCCCTACCCAGAGAGCTAGAGAAACAGAGAGAGGAAGGGCATCACTCCTCTTTGCTGGCTCTGTCACCTGCTCTAGGTCCCAGTTGATAAGTCACGTCCTCAGCAAGACTCCCTTCTACAGCAGATCTTCCAAGTACTCTCTTGGCATGGTTGGTTCTGTTGAAGTAGTTACCCCCACATTGTAAATCCAACAGATAGGCTCCTAATCAGTCATCTTGTCTTGCCCTAGAGTCCAGGTGTCATTCCAGATTGCAGTCCTCTGCCTCCTGGACTCACCCACATCTCAGCAATGGTCACACCAAACCATTCTGGTTGACTTTGTATCTCTAGCACTCCCTGAGCTCCGTCAGGGCAGAAACTGTATTTATCTCCCCCATCATCATATTATCAGCACTTAGCACAGTGCCTGGCACACAGCAAGTCCTCAACAAAATATTTGCCAAATGAAGGAGTCATGATATCTGAAAGCATTTAAGGTTTGGAGCAAACTTTCCTCCAAGGCTAAGGGACATACAAAACAAAATCAGCTAAAGGTGGCCCATGCTTAAATTTTTAATTTTTTTTTTTAAAGATTTATTTATTTGAGAGAGAATGAGATAGAGAGAGAGCATGAGATGGGGGAGGGTCAGAGGGAGAAGCAGACTCCCTGCCGAGTAGGGAGCCCAATGCAGGACTCGATCCAGGGACTCCAGGATCATGACCTGAGCTGAAGGCAGTCGCTTAACCAACTGAGCCACCCAGGCGCCCAAGTTTTTAATTTTCTATGTAAAGAAAGAATGAAATGATCTTGTGCTCATTTTATTTTCATATAAAGAGGAGCGTAAAACCATGAGGCATACAAAAAAAAATGAAGTTTTATAGTGTGGTAAATAAAAAAGAGAAGGTTGGGGACCAATCATTGAGGGGGGGAAGGAGCCATGGTACAGTACAGAAATAGAAACAGATGTAGAGATAAAGAGACAGATCAAGAGAAAAACCAGCAGAAGTATCTAGGCAAGGTACAAAACAGGGCTTCGCTGCTTTTCTGGGAACGAAAGGGCAACCCTCCAGATTTCAAAAGGGGTTTTCACTCCTACCTAAGGGGTAAGAACACTTGTCTTAAGTCCCCTCTTCACTTCATTTTTCAAAGAAGTTTTCTAAAAACTGATTTACTATGCTAAAAAAATCAGTGGTTAGCACATTGCATTTTGAAGAGAACACAATCTATTCAAATGATTTTTTTTTTTAATACTTCACTTTGTATCTTTAGAGAATGTGGCTACAAACTTTTAAGTCAGGCACTGGGTTTTTCAAAGTTACAAGCAAGAAGAGGGATGGATCCTTGGGGGCTGTCAGAAGGAGGGGCATGAACTTCAAGCACAGTTCAGCAGGGTCTTTTGAACTGTACATCCCACTCATTCCCTTCTCTGAAACTTTCCATGGCCCCGGCCCTAGATGAAAGGGTGAGCAGAGCCTACCATTGCACATGGTCTAACCTCTCTGGCCAAGCCACCTAAACCAGTGGGCCTTCCCAACTGGGGCCAATTAGAATCTCCCTAAGAAATCGCCATTTGGGCCCCAATGAGCTGGTGCCGGGACAACACATAAAACTGATAGGCAAGAGGTGTGGGCAGTTTTCCACCGGGCTTTCTCAGCCTCGTAAGAGTAAGAAGTCAAGGAAAGATGGTCGGCAGAGAGACGTGAAAAATCAGGAACATTGTGTAGCAGGACCTGGGGGTCCAAATCCCAGGCCCACTGGACAGCTATGACCCTGAACAAGTTCCTTGACATGTCCTTGACCTAACTGTAACCTGCTTCCTAAGGCTCCTTTGAGGATTGAATAAGTCAGCACATACAGCACTTGGAAGAGGGTCTAGTCCACAGTAAATGCATGCTGAATGTTAACCACTATTATTATCATTTTGCTGAACTGTAAGCTCATGAGGCCGAGGATTTCTCGCTGTTTTGTTCATACCATATCTCAGAATCTAGAACCGTGCCTCCTACACAGCAGTGCTCAACCCATGTATGATGAGTGATCAGAGACTGGAGATACCGCACAGCCCTGAGAGGACAGAGACCATGAACAGAGCCTGCTAACTCTCTCCTGATCTCAGCTCCTACCTACTCCAATGGAGCAATCAGAGCCGGGTCTTATCAAAGCCTAAATCAGATCATGTTTCTTTCCTGCTTCTCATATCTCAGGATAAAGCCAAACTCTACCCCCCTGGCTACCCAGGCCCTGCATGCTCTGGCCCCTGCCTACCTCTCTCCCCCTCCCTCTGGCTTCCTGCTCCAGTTACACTGGCCTCCTTCATTCCTCTGACGTGGTTCTCTCTGCTTCCTTCTACCTCCGGGCCCTTGCATGTGCTGTTCCCCTGATGCATTCTCAGCACCAGGCTCCTTCTCAGGGAAATCTTAGCAGATGTTCTTCCCTTGTTTTCATTGGCTCCTCCATTTTACACGCCCAGAACCTCATGTTCTTTTCCTTCATGCTTCTTGTCACCTTTTGTACTTTTATCATTTATGACTATTTAGTCAATAACTCTTTCACCCTAGACCATAAGCTCCATTAAGAAAGAGAGCATAACTTCTTTTTTATTCATTGTATTTTAGTATCAAAAACAGCATATGGGGGGCGCCTAGGTGGCTCAGTCGGTTAAGCGACTGCCTTCGGCTCAGGTCATGATCCTGGAGACCTGGGATCGAGTCCCACATCAGGCTCCCTGCTCAGCAAGGGGTCTGCTTCTCCCTCTGCCCTCTTCCCTCTCGTGCTCTCTGTCTCTCATTCTCTCTCTCTCAAATAAATAAAATCTTTAAAAAAAAACCTTATAAAAAAAAACAACAGCATATGGCAAAAAGAAAGGGCTCAACATATACTTGCAGAATGAATCCATTTGTTGAATGGGTTGACTGAACAAAGAAGTACATTTGGGACCATTCTCAAGCCTAGCTTCTTCCCGAGTCTCCTGGCCTGCTTTTGCAATAGTAACCTCCTCAGACAAGCCCCTAAATCCCCCTTCCAATCTGCCTTGAGTTTTTCTATCACTACAAAAGGCTTTGACTCCAATCCACAGACTAACGCCACCCTCCAAGCCGGAAGTCCCCTCCTAGAATCAATAAGCCTAGATCAATAATCACATAAAGACTTCCTTTCCCAAAAAAAGCCATTTTCATGCATGACAGAGTAAATGGTACCAGACCAGCCCTCCCACCATCAACAACCATTAAGTCAGGACAAACCTAAACAAGGCAACTGTTGTCAGGTGTTAGATGGCAGGCAGCATAAGACTGTGGTCACTGGGGAAAAGGAAACACAGGAGCTAAGCATACATTCACTCTAGCTCTCCATCTGAGGACAGCTTCCATACCACCAGCGTGGAGTCACCTCCCCCACCAAGCATCCGAAAAGGTTATGCCTTAGAAATAAGGGTACACCTTAGAGAAAGGCTTCCCCAGACCTGCCCTGACAGAATCTAAAACCAGGTCTCAATGAAATCGACGCAGGAGGGAGCACAGGAAACATCTCAGGCTTCCCACAGGTCTACCCTCACAAAATGTAAACTCAAGTCCACACAAGTTCACAGTGATCAGCCCGTTACTGAACTGCCTTCCACGGAAGATAACAAAATCCAGAGTCTTTATAATATCCAGTATACATATTATCATCCCAACATCAGAAGATAATCAACAATTACTAGACATGCAAAGAAAGAGGAAAATGTGGCTCATGGTCAAGGAAAAGAAGCAAGGAATAGACACAGATCCCAAAATAGCTACGATGTCAGCTCTAGAAAAAGCAACTGTCAGGATTTACAAGTTCCTAATATTATAAAATTCGTTAACCAGGTGTATACACTAAAAGCACCTGTGGAGATTTGAGGGTTTGGGGGTTTGTGTTTTTTGTTTGTCTGAGTTCTACTCATATAGTTTCTCATTAAGTAGTCTCAGGTGATGCTTAGGCATCTGCATTGTTAACCTCTCTACAGCGTTCTAACGCATCATATAATTCTTATCATAGAATACATCCACTTTAAGGTAAATACAAATAAAAGGTAAATTTATATGTATTGAAGGTTCTGCTTAATTGAGTTGGTTGGTGAGCACCAATCAGCAATCTCGGGTTGAACAGATTACACAATTAAGAAAGATAATTTCAACTCTATTTTGCAGAAAAATGCACATGTCTCTACTTATTTGGAAAAAAAAGTCTGAGGTTAAATCAAAAGCCACAGACAAAAAGATAATGATTAAGAAAAAAACAGGAGGAAATGCTCATGGTATAATATAAAAAATAGCAGAGTACCAACCACTGTAACATAAAGCATATAAATGTACATTAATAGACATTGCCATGTTTGTGAATAGAAAAGGCAACAATAAATATATAAAATGCTAATAGTTATTTTGTGTGTAATTTTAATTTTCTCCTAGTTTTCTATATTTTACAAGAGTGTATGGAATTTTCTCAGTGGACTCACATCTGAAATTTAGGCACAAAATAATGGTTGCAGAAACCTTCTGTCAATACACAAATCTCTGCAAAATCTAGCAATTTTTCCATCAGAAAGAGAAGGGAAGAAGTAGCTTGAGCAAGAATATCATTTCTATCCTTATCCAGCTCAGGAAGACTTTCTCCTCTAGCCTCTGAGTAACTGGACCAGCTTCTGATACTAATTCCATCTCAAGTTTTCCCATCCATCAGACAAATAAGAGGCTGAGACACATACCACAACCCAACAAGCAACAGGCAGTTGCTGAGCAGAAGTAGCTCACCTACTGGCAAATGAAGGACACCAAAAGGAAAAGAATTCAAGTCCATACCTGAACGACAGGGTGGCCACCAGTTGGAGCTTTGACAGCCCCTCGGCTGCCTTCGGTCTCATAGTGGGCCCGGTGATGTGGTTTGGGCTGCACCTCAATCCGCAGCTCATAGGAGCCCGACTGGTGGGACAGTGGCCACTCAAGCGGAGGGAGGGATGCGGTCACTGGGATGCTGAAGGAGGAAATAGAATCAGTCATGTATACGAGAAATCAGGACTTGTCAACCTGTACAATAAATGTAAATGGTCCCTTTTCCAGATAAATCATGTCCTGTAGGTATAGGAGTAAAATACTGGCTGTTGGAAAGCACATATTTCTCAGAAAGGATAGGTAGGACACTTCACAAGGTAGAGATCTTTTTCTTGGTTTTCTCTTCCATCTTTGATGACAACAGTGTGACTGACATCTCCATTTATGAAGCTAACTTCATGACACGTGAATTCTAGCATATTTCTAACTGCTATAACTTCTTTTCCTCTGGGAATTTTGAAGAGTACCACCTCCTACCTCTAAAAATCACCCTTTTCCCAGAATGTTCTCCCATTCCAAAGGAGTAAGTGTGGGAAAAGGTACACTGAAGTGGAAGTCAGGGGCCCATGTGTGTCACTAATGCGCCATGTTAGTTTAGGCAAGTAACCTCACCTCCTCTATCTTCACTGTCTTATAATAACATAACAAATGGACCAGATGGCACTGGAGGGTTATATCAGCTCTTATTTCCAAGTCCAATGCTTTCAATTAAAAGCTAATTCTAGGGAGAGACCATTTCCAGTCATAGCCATTGCTTATCACAGCAAGTATAGAACATCTAACCATAGGGATGTGGCTAAATTTAGAGACCCCTAAATTTAAAGGAAGAGTAAAGGTCAAGAACATGACTGGAGGGCGCCTGGGTGGCTCAGTTGGTTAAGCGACTGCCTTCGGCTCAGGTCATGATCCTGGAGTCCTGGGATCGAGTCCCGCATCGGGCTCCCTGCTCGGTGGGGAGTCTGCTTCTCCCTCTGCCCTCTTCCCTCTCGTGCTCTCTGTCTCTCATTCTCTCTCTCAAATAAATAAATAAAATCTTTAAAAAAAAAAAAAGAACATGACTGGAGTTATCCACCCAAGTTTAAGTCCAAGCTCCACCTCTAACTACTTTGAGCAGATGCCTCCCCTCCCTAGGCCTTAGTTTCCTCAACTAAGAAATGGGGATACTGAGATCATATAAAGAGCTTAGCGCAATAACTCCTCAAATAAATATTAGGCTATAATTATGTTTCCCTATATATAGTGCATATTTCAAATAAATAATTATCTCCTATAGACAATCTAAATTACTTGTGGTTATAGTATTAGATATATATGCCTTTACATCTGAAGTTGTAATGACATGCCTTAAGTTTTATTTTCCTATAGAATCTTTTCTTTTTTTAAGATTTTATTTATTTATTTGACAAAGAGAGAGTGAGAGAGGGAACACAAGCAGGGGGAGTGGGAGAGGGAGAAGCAGGCTTCCCGTGGAGCAGGGAGCCCAATGCAGGGCTCGATCCCAGGACCCTGGGATCATGACCTGAGCCGAAGGCAGATGCTTAATGACTGAGCCACCCAGGTGCCCCCCTATAGAATCTTAAACCTACCCAGCACATCCAACAGGTACTTGATATATGGTTAGAATTATGTCATTTAAGAGTTGACTGAGGCCTTAATGATCTATCTAAACTATTCCTTCAGAGCCTCAGAGAACATAGACATTTCCCCAAGATTACAAAGCAAGACACACCAAGGCCGCAACTTATATGTCTTGACTCTCGGTCCAGTGCTCCATGCACATGTCTACACTACCTCTTATCTTACTAATTTATTTAAAATAGGGCCAAGAAAATCTCCCACTTATAGAATGACTCTAGAGCAATACCTGACATTTGATAGGTTCTCAGTGACTATTCAGTGGGTAGATGGGTAGATGGCTGGATGGATACATGAATGAATAAATGAGCAGTTTTATTTCAAAGAAGCCCTTATATTTAAAGTAGTTTCAGGGGCACCTGGGTGGCTCAGTCTGTTAAGCATCAGCTTTGGCTCAGGTCATGATCCTGGAGTCCCACAATTGAGTCCTGCATCAGGCTCCCTGCTCAGTGGGGAGTCTGCTTCTCCCTCTCCCCACTCTCATGCTCTCTCTCTCACTCTCTCAAATAAGGAAAATCTTTTAAAAAAAAATCAAAGTAGCTTCAAAGTTGCAAATACATGGATTTGTGTCACTGTGTTCTGATTTTGCACATATGGCACCAATCGTTAATCCAATCAGCACCTTCTTTTCCACTAAACAAGCCCAGAGCTGCTAAAAGCTGACATTATCAACTGGACTTAGTTAAGCATTTGCAATGAAACCAATTCCATCCCTTCTCCATCACAGCAGTACCAAGGGAGATGGGGGGGAGTGGCACCCCATGAACTCCATCACTGCTGGAGCCCAACTTGACCATACAATCCAACTTAAAATTATATCCTCACTATGCAAGCAAAGCTCCAGCTCTTCTTTGCAACTAGTTGCCTCCCGAAGCCCCCCTTTTCCTTAGTGTTCACTTTAGTTTCAATGCCAACATGCCTTCAGCTTCTGCCTGCAGCCAAGATGCTGTGTGTGTCAAATGCTTGTACTCTCATTACGTATGCAAGTGAAATTTTTTTAAGTTTGCAAAATAAAGCTCATAAAAAAATCACTTCACCCCTATATTATCTTTTGAAGTATCCAAAAAAAAAAAAAAAAATCAAGGAGTAGAAGATCCAGTGGGATATCTCTAAGTATCAACTTCAAATTTTCCTTGGTTCCAGAATAAGTCTTTGATGACTTCATTACAATCTTAAGAATTAGACCATCAGAGCCAATGTGAAATGCTGCAGGTGAATTTCAGCCCTCTGCTCTGCACACCCTGGGACAAATATTATCATGAGACTTCCCTGAACACCCTATCCTCTCTATCTCACAGAAAATTCTTACAAATATCTCCTCAGCTGGCACAAGCTAGCACTTGTAGGGACTAAAGTACTCTACTAGCATTCAGATCCAGCCACAGAATGGAGATGGAAGGAGAAACGATAAAGTCTTTATAAACAGTAAAGTCTCAGACATATGCAGCATGATCCTATTTTTTTTCTTTTTTTTTTTTCCTAAGATTTTATTTATTTATTTGACAGAGTGAGACACAGCAAGAGAGGGAACACAAGCAGGGGGAGTGGGAGAGGGAGAAGCAGGCTTCCCAAGGAACAAGGGAGCCTGATGTGGGGCTCGATCCAGGACCCTGGGATCATGACCTGAGCCAAAGGCAGACACTTAATGACTGAGCCAATGTTCTTCTCCAATCTCAGTCATTACACGAATCACATTCTGGAGACTGATCTGTAGCAGAGAGAACAAGGAGGAGTCAAGAACCCGAGGTTCTAAGTTTCCAACGCAGTCATTAACCAGCTGGGTGAGCCTGGGGCATGTCCCCTCACCTCGCCAAACCTAGGTTTCTCAACCTGAACCAGGGTTGGCCTTAATCAGCATTTCCTAAGGTGGCTCCATACAACTTTGGTCACAGAACTCGTAACTCCATGGCCAAATGGCCTTTGAAATCACTGCCTGTTCTGTCCACAGCTGGGAGTGGCCCCTGTATCAAGATATCTGTTTAACTCTGTTAAACTCAGAAACTCCTTTTTTAAGGAACACAATCAACCTATCATGGCACCAGTGTTCTCAGAACTGTTCTGGAGGAGGGGCCAGACTGAAGCTCCCCGTGGTCCAGGTCGGTCTGTGGGTGGAATAAGCAAGGCCCAGTGGACAGAGCTCTTGTCTACTCTCATCCCGTCAGTCGAAATAGCTCTACCACAATCTGTTTTGGTATTCAATTTAATATTTGCCAAAAAAAAAAAAAAGTTTCCATTTGCTAAAAACAAACATGCTTTGAAGAATCTAGGGCCTCAAGGCACCTGGGTGGCTCAGTCAGTTGAGCATCCGATTCTTGGTTTCAGCTCAGGTCATGATCTCGTGAGGTCTTGGGCTGGAGCCCCACGAGGGGTTCCCTGCTCAGCGGGGAGTCTACTTGAAGATTCTCTCCCTCTGCCCCTTCCCCCACTCTAAAATAAATAAACAAATCTTAAAAAAAAAAAAAAAAGAATAGAGGCGCCTGGGTGGCTCAGTCGGTTAAGCATCTGCCTTCATTCAGCTCAGGTCATGATCCCGGGGTCCTGGGATCAAGCCCCACATCAGGCTCCCTGCTCAGAGGGGAGTCTGCTTCTCCCTCTCCCTCTGCCCCTCCCCCTGCTCATGCACTTCCTCTCTCTCTCAAATAAATAAAATCTTTAAAAATTAATAAAAATAAATACAATAAATAAAATTTTTTAAAAAGAACCTACAGGGCACCTGGGTGGCTCAGTCGTTAAGCGTCTGCCTTCGGCTCAGGTCACGATCCCAGGGTCCTGGGATCGAGCCCTGCATCGGGCTCCCTGCTCAGTGGGAAGTCTGCCTCTCTCTCTCCCTCTGCCCTTCTCCCCTGCTTGTGCACACACACACTCTCTCTGAAATAAATAAAATCTTTTAAAAATAAAAAATAATACCAGTCAGGTTTATATAAGAATGAAATAGTACATACAGAATACTTAGGATCATGCCTGGCACACAGCAAGCATCCTTAAATACTGGTGATTATCACTGTCAACTATCATTCCTCTAACAACCATTGGGAGCTCAATCTCCTAGGACAAGTCTCATTGATGAGAAAGCACTCTCTAAAGTGCTTCCCCCATAATAATAAGACAATTCTCCTATAAAAATAATGGCTGCCCCCCCCCTTTTTTTTTGCACTCTTACTTTGTGCAGGCTCCATGCCAAGAATTTGATATATATCCTCTCACCCAATCCTTGCAAAAAAAAAAACAAAAACCAAAAAACCATGCTGAGGTGGGACTATCATTATCCTCATCTCATAGGGAATGAGCCAAGGTTTAGTGTTGTGCTCAGTGGGAAAGGGGGTCCTGATTGATTAGCAATGTCTGCCCTGGGAATGGCATCAAAAAGGTGCTCAGTGAGAAAGAGGGCCGGCATGATTAGTGATGCCTGCCACGGGCACAGCAGGAGTGCAGCACCAGATCACACAGCCGGTGAGCGGCAGAACCAGGACTCAGATCCAGAATCGACAGACCCTACAGACCATCTACATGCATCTCTTCAGCTTACCACTACTTTAAGCTCCTTGAGGATTAGGGCTCACACTTTCCTTTTTTAGGACCTCCGGATCACTGACCGCAGTACAGAGGCACTAGCAGATACCAACAATCATCAAGTCCTCTTATAAGAGGACTGAGTTCCACACATTAAGGCTTGCTCTGTGCTTCCCAGAATGTCAGCTCCCTGAAGACAGGAATTTTTGCCCATTTTGTTCACCGCCGGCTCCCCAACACTGTAACAGTGCGTGCCTGGCCCAAAGCAGGTGTCTGATAAACACCCGTTCCGTGAATGAAATGAATCAGCCAGGTGCCCTACCAGCGATCGCTTGCATCGTCAGGACCACCACCTGGTGAGTTAGGTACCCTCAGGCCCATTTTACAGATGGGGAAACCACAGCTCGGAGAATTTAACTTCTTGCCAAGGCCTCACAGGCAATAAGCCGAGAGCCAGGACGTGAACTCTGTCTAGCGCCCCCTAACCAGAAAAAGTCCCCTAAAAGTAAACCGTGGACCGCACCGCTTCCCGGGCCCGCTCACCTGCAGATGGGAATAGCAGGCACCAGCTGCTTGGGCCAGGTGGGCGGCACCAGCAAGATGGACTCGGGGGCTGAGCTCCTCCCCTCCTCCTGCTCGCAGGGCCCCAGGAACTCCATGGCCGGGTAGATGTGGCGGGGCAGGCCGGCCTTGGGCGGGGCGGCGGACACCGGCGACGGGTCCGGGCTCGTCTTCCACATCTTGGGGGGGATGCCACAGGGCGAGTCCGCGGCGAGGCTGTTCAGGGCATCCATGAGGACGGCAGAGCCAGCCGTGGGGGGGTACCCAGCGGGGGCACCGTCGTCCTGGGGCTGCGGCGAGGGGCTCCGGGAGCGCTGGGGTGAGGCTCCAGGCAGCGGGGCAACCAAGGCCCCGGCACACGAATGCCTCCGCTTGGCACCAGGCGACGAGGAGCGGGAGGCCGGACGGGGCACGGGCGAGTGGCGGCCCAGGCAGCTGTCCTCAGCGAGGCTGGTTCGAGGTGACATTATTGGCGAGGTTCTGGGGGAATAATGAGCAGGGATGTTTTGAAAGTGGGGACACAGGTCGTCGGGCCCGCCGTTATTGGGCGAGACGCAGGGCGAGGTGCAGGGGGAGAAGGTGTCGGAAATGAAGCTGGCAGAGGACCCGCTACTAGCCGGGCTCAAGCAAAGCGGCTCGCGGTAGCCCTCGAAGCCGGGGACGGGCAGGGTGAACCGCGGGCTGGCGGCCGCGCCGGCCAGCGCCGGCTGCTCCCCCAGCAGGCCAGTGTCTCTCCCGCGGAGGGGGCCCCCTGCCTGCATCAGTTCGTGAGATGGAGTGATCTCGATCCGAGGGCTCAGGCCCGAGGCCCCCGCTGGCTTGGCCGCCGGGCTCAGAAAGTTCTGCGGCCCTACCCTATCGGGCTCTCCGAATCGGCCGGGGGGCTCGCCGGGGAGACTGGGGAGGGGGCTGTATGGCTTGAGGCCATAGTCCAGGACTTCATCGGGATATGCGAGTCCGGAGGGTGGGCTGGCGACCTTATGTGCATTCGGTTCTTCTGGAAAGAGAAGGGGGGAGGGAGGGGTCTTTTTAAGCCTCTAAAACAGAACTCCCGTGCAGAGCAATCACAGGTTGGGTTTTGTCTCCTGGTTTTTTTGTTTGTTTGTTTGTTTTTGTTTTTTCTAATCCCCACCACACCAAACCCCAAGCTGGAGCCTCCTTCCCTCGCCAGAGGAAAGGGAGGCCACTTCATCCCAGATTCCTCGAAGAGCGAGACCAAAGCGGAAAGATTTTAGCGCAGGTGCACAGAGCACAGCTCATCCAAGCCATGCGGGACGCGCTGGGCCCGTGGCCTCCAAACTTGTGGTTCTGTGGAACCCTTGGGAGAGATTCATTTCATTTCACAACTCAGCTCACACCGTATTTACTGGAGACTGAAACAAAAGCTTCACGAAACAATACTTACCCTGCTACATACAATACACTCTTCTCTTTCCTCTTATCTGGGGCTATTTGGCTTAAATGCTGGTCATAACATTCGACAGATTTCCTGGCCCACCAGTGGGTCATGACCCACAGTTTAGAAACCACTGACCTGGCTTACGTCATCATTCTGCATATATGGTACAGCCACAGGACGCAGGGGGAGACTGCACCGGCTCTGGCGTCCAAGGGGCTCTGGGTTCAAATCCCAGCCTTTCACACCCTTGTGTAAATACTGGCTTAATTTAGAACGAGGACTCCTGAGTCACGTCTCATCTTGTGCCATTTTACAGATGGGGAAGCTGGGGCCCAGGGAGGGGACGAGATTCACCCAAAGACACAGAATTTGCAAGATGAGAAATCCCACCGACAAGCCCCTTGGCCCTCAAAAGGCAGAGCCATGGTTCTGTAGTCTCTCAAGCTATTGAAAACAGGGGGTGCAGAAAGATCTCATCTTTCTTTAGTAGCGGCCTTCGGCTGCCACCTCGAAAGAACCCACGCTGGAGAGAGGGTTGAGTGAGGAGGGAAGGAGCTGTTCTTCCCCGCCACCCTGACCCTCATCCAGCGCCCTGTCGGGGCGTGGGTCAGCCTGACTCCTCTCTTTCACACACCTTACATCCAATCCACAGCAAATCCTGATGGCCCTACTGTCAAAACATAAGCCACAGGCTTGCGTGTCTCCTTCTCCACCACAACCCCTCTGCCCTATGCCACGAGCCGTCCTCTCTCACCTGGACCTACTCACCTCCCCCCGGGCTCCCCACTTCTACCCTCGCCCCCTCCAGTCTGTTCGCCACGCGGTAGCCTCTCGAAACGCCCATCTGCAAAACTTTAAAAGCTGCCCCAGATGTGATCCAAAGTCCTTAACACACTTGTCCCTGAGCCCTGGCCCATCTCGCCACCCGTACCTCCCCACTTTTTCCCACCCTGACTCAGCAACAGCCCTGCTAACCCCTTCGCTATTCTTCAAGTAGCTCCCGCCTTGAAGTTCTTGAGTGCTGTTCATTCTGCTGGAAACTCTACCCCCCGAGATCTTCACATGGCTGCTTCCCTTAATTTCTTCCCGTGTCTTTCATTCTCTGCCCTTTTCCCCTGCCATCTTTTCTCTGCTAACACCTGTTACCAGCTCACAACACATCAGGTATTATGTGTTGAGGGAATCTCATCCTGATAGATCAGGGGCAGGCAAACTGCAGCTCCTGGGCCAAATCCGACCCACAGACTGTGTGTGTAGATAAAGTTTTATAGGAATGCACCCATGCACCTATTTGCTTACCTATGGTCTATGGCTTGTTTTTGCACTACAATAGTAGAGTTGATAGTTACGACAGTCTATGGCTCACAAAACCTAAAATATTGATCATCTGGCCCTTTACAGGAGTTTGCAACCCATGCACCAGATACTATGCTACCATTCTGGAACCGTATCTACTGAGGCTCAGCACTGTTTGCCGGACACCTAGCATAGGCTGTGCATAAACGTCTGCTGAGCGAGTGAGCAAACAATAGAAGCATGCCCAAGGTCCAGCCAGCCAGAAATTGGAACTCTTCTTAAAGTTGTGTGACGGGCCCTTGCCCTGGGGAGCCGAGGTGGCTACATAGATGATCCTCAACCTCCTGGTGCCCTTTCTGGACCATCCGGGACTACATGCTGCCTGCCTTAGCTGAGCTGATCTCATGAGGTCCAGATGGTGCCCCCACCCCAGGCGAGAGCCCAGAAATGGCTTCCCACAGCTCTTAGGGTAAAGATGAACAACCTCAACTAGGCCAGCCTGGCCAGGCCCGGCCTGCCACCTCTGGCCTCGCCTCTCTCTGCCCTCCCACATCTCTCCCTGGACTCCAAGCAAACTGGCTGTCTTTCTGTTCTTAGAAAGCACCTACCTCCTTTTCTGTCTCAGGACCTTTGCGCTTGCCGTTCCCTCTGTCACAACAGCTCTTCCCCCCACCACACCCAGGTGTGTGGTGCCTTAGTCCCTTCTCTACATGACTAAACTACTCATTCCTTCCAGCTAAAGTGTCATGTGCTGGGGAAGGCTTCCTGGTCTCCTTGGCTAAATTACAGCCCACTCACGCTTCTCTGTTCTGCTCCATACACTTCCCAAAATTCCAATTAAGTAATTCTGAATTTAGTTGTTTATTGCCTGCCTCTCTCCCAACCTCCAGCTCCACCCCTACAACAGGAAATTCTATGAGGACTCTTTCACCCCCTAATGTATTCCCAGCACTTGGACAGGAACCCCCCCCCCCGCCAAAAAAAATACATGTTGGTTGGCTGAATGATTTTTTTAAAAGTGAGTTCACAAAAGTCTATATGAAATATTTAAACTGCTACGCAAAGATGTTAATATCCAAACCAAAAGGGAGAAAGATATAACCTCCAGAGGGTAACTTGGTAATATCTATCAAAATTCCAACACACGTATCTTTGGAACCAAACAATGTTGCTTTAGAAATTTATCCTGCAGCTAAACCCTCATATGTGCCAAATGAAGTGTGCCTAAGATTAGTTAATACTGCCCTGTTTGGGGGCACCTGGGTGGCTCAGTCAGTTAAGCATCTGTCTTTGACTGAGGTCATGATCCCAAGGTCCTAGGATCGAGTCCCGCATCGGGCTCCCTCTCAGCAGGGAGTCTGCTTCTCCCTCTTCCTTTGCCCCTCCCCCTGCTTGTGCTCTCTTTTACTCTCACTCTCTCTCAAATAAATAAAATCTTAAAAAAAAAAAACAAAAACTGCCCTGTTTGTCATCCCAGAAGACTGGAAGCAACCTAATGTCTATCAGTTGGGGATGGGTTGAATTCTGGTTTGTTCATACAATGGGATGCAATGCTGCTAGATAAAGGGTTGGAAAAGTTCTTTCTGCATTGATCTGGAATGACAAGATACAGTGTCAAAGGAGAAAAGCAAGGTACATACAGCATGCACAGTATAAAAACAGGATAGAGGAATGTATACACAGGTACACACACACACACACACACACACATAGGGGTTGCGTACACAGGCTCTCTCTGGAAGTTACAGTAACAGTGACTTCCTCCAGGGAGGGCAACTAAGTAATCAGGCAGCAGAAGCATGGCAGAAAGGAGACTGATTTCTGTATGACCTCGAGAAAAGAAATACAATTCCCAAAAGAAACATGTTTTATTTTATTTTAAACGTGGTGGGGCATAGGGGTGACATGACAGGATATACGGTAATGACACCCTCGTTTCAGAAGCAGGAAATTGAGATCTAGTCCTACTCTGCCACTACCTAGCTGTGTGACCTTGGAAAAGTCCCCCACCGGCTCTATGTCTCAGCCTTCCCATTTATAGGACAGCACTAAACTAGATCGGTTTCCTTGGTCACTTCTGGCTGTGAAATCCTTTGATTTTTCTAGCTGGGGTGTGTAGGGTCTTGAGTTCTTATGAAGAGGCAATCGATCACAACTTGTATCTATGTGCATACACACGCACACACACACGCACACACACACGCACACACACACACCTTCCTGGCAGGTAACAGAGTGTAGAATTTTAATCTAGCGAGAGTTCAACATCAAATCCTTATCAGACAACATTCTGATAATCCACTACCCTGTGAACCAGCACAACAAACCACAAAAAGTCTCTTAGCAAAAATTCCAGCCTTATCAGATGAACTGCATCACATCTCATCAGAAACACCCCCTCAGGCCGGACGTGAACAGTCACAGAAACTCCGCCATGAAAACACACATCACTCACACTTGCTGGCAGGAACGCCAAACAGAAAGGCCCATTTGCTGAGCAAAAGCATCCAAAGCATTTACACTGGTTTTAATTAATCCAAGCAGCAGAGTTTTTTCCGATTTCTTTTTCCTCTCGAGATTCTGAAAGTTTCACAGCAAGCAGGGAATGTGAAGGTAATCGATCATCATTCCATTCTCGGCTCTCTGGGTGTTTGACAGCGAATATCCCAGACGCACGGCTCATTGTGAACACATTTCTATAAGCAGCTAGGATTCTCAGCTCTCCCTCCTTACACAACTGTCCCCCTCACAGCCAGCCCCTCGGGGTCACGGCCACGCCCACACAGCCACTGGGTGGCATGAGTTTCATCTTAGAACCGCCAGATTTTCAGAAGGGTTCCCAAAAATCTTGCTCTTTTTACCCCGCGCATGATCTTTGCGATATCCATGTACCACCGGTAAATATTATTTACTTAATATTTCTATATTTAAATTCACTCACACAGTACTTTTTTAATTTTAAAAGGAAACTTTATACCACTACCACAAATGGAAAATCTGTGTCACCTCCGTAAATAGAAGGTAGGGTAAAAACACAATAAAAATAAAAGTTACTAAATCCGAGATTCGAGACACTGTGGCCGGCCAAAAGCTCTACTCTGAGGCCCACCCTTTTTTCTGCCCCTGAATGCTCTCTTTTTATTGAGGTAGAACTTATATGTACAGATTTTGACTATGTAGAGTTCGATGAGTTTTGCCAAATGTTATACAACCTTGTAACCACAACCACAATAAAGATGTAGAACATTTCCACAACCCCTGTAAGCCTACCTTTTTTAAGGCTGGAGATGGGGGGCAGGGAA